GCTTAACCAATTGAGCCACCCAGGCACCCCAATCCAAGTAGTATTGTAAAGGAGAATTAGAATGTGCTCTTCCCATCAATTATATCCCTTAACATGCCTCCATTGCATTTAAATATTTAAAAACAAAACAAATCTTTACCCTGGCCTTCAGCTCTGCAAGACCCAGCTCCTGGCCACTTCTCCCACTCAACCGGGCTACTCTCCCCCTCTATTTTTTTTTAAATAACTTGTTTTTTTTAACTTTTATTTATTTATGATAGTCACAGAGAGAGAGAGAGAGAGGCAGAGACATAGGCAGAGGGAGAAGCAGGCTCCATGCACCGGGAGCCCGATATGGGATTCGATCCCGGGTCTCCAGGATCGCGCCCTGGGCCAAAGGCAGGCGCCAAACCGCTGCGCCACCCAGAGATCCCCTCTCCCCCTCTATTGATAAGCTCCAGACACACTGGGTTCCTTTGGTTCTAAATGGGCCAAGGACTTTCCTACTCTAGAGCATGTACACATACTGCTTCTCCTTCTGGAAGGCTAATCACTTCCCCCTGGCTAATTCTTATTTACCCTTTAGGACTCAACTTAGTTTTATGGCTTCTGAGAGTCCCTCTCTCATTCCTTGATCTAGCCCCTCATGCTCTCTCTCGCAGAACCATGTTCTCTGTCACAATTTAGGATTATGTTTTTATAATGTTTCTCTTCCCCTGCTAGACCGTACATTTCATGCTCAGAGGGACCATGTCTACCTTATTCATCAGGACATATCCAACATCTAGCCCAGTGCCTGACACATGGTAGGTCCCAAGAGATAGTAGGTTGAATGCCACAAAACTGATACTTTTTAAAATTAAAACCAGGCATATGTTGGGGCGCCTGGGTGGCTTTGTTGGTTGAGTTTCCTTTTTTTTTTTTGTTGGTTGAGTTTCCAACTCTTGGTTTCAGCTCAGATGATCTCAGAGTCATGAGATTGAGCCCTGCATCAGGCTCTGTGCTCAGTGTGGAGTCTGCTTGAGACTCTCTCTCCTTCTCCATGTGCCCATCCTCACTGTGTGCTCTCTCTCTCTCTCTCTAAAAATACATAAGTAAACAAACAAACAAATAAATAATCTTTAAAAAACAGGACTATATCAGCAACCTCATAAGTTTCAACCTAATATTTTTTGAACAAATGAAAAATGAGGCAGGTGAATTATTAAGAGAATGAGAAAGTAGCCTCAGGAGTATGTTTTAGTCCCACATTACTATTTATAATTTTTATTTTATTTAATTTATGATAGGCAAACACAGAGAGAGAGAGAGGCAGAGACATAGGCAGAGGGAGAAGCAGGCTCCATGCACCGGGAGCCCGACGTGGGATTCGATCCCGCGTCTCCAGGATCGCGCCCTGAGCCAAAGGCAGGCGCTAAACCGCTGCGCCACCCAGGGATCCCCCACATTACTATTTAATCCCATGACCCTGAGATCATGAACTGAACCAAAATCAAGAGTTGAATGCTTAACCAATTGAGCCACCCAGGCACCCCTATTCAAGTAGTATTTTAAAGGAGAATTAGAATGTGCTTTTCCCATCAATTATATCCCTTAACATGCCTCCATTGCATTTAAATATTTAAAAACAAAATAAAACAAAACAAATCTTTACCCCGGCCTTCAGCTCTGCAAGACTCAGGAATCTGCTTGAGTTGCTGGTCTGAGGATGTTCCCCCTAAAAGAAGGAGCACCTCTAATCTTTGTCATATGTATCTCTCTAGTGAACTCCTCTAAGTCTATGCCTTGCACCCATAGGCCCTTGTGTCCTTCCTTATGCTCTATCTCCTCCCATGATCTTTCATGTTTTCTTCCCCTTTCACAACTGTCTTTGACAACTAATTCATCAGGGGCATAGGGACTTCTACATGATGTGTCTACTCCATTTCTTTGCTGATAAGCTACCGAGTTTTCTTTACTAGGTCATAATAGAATTTGTTTTATTCAAGTGAAAAACCAAAAAGAGGAATCAAAGACACTATTGAATGATGAAGGAACGAACTACTTACCCTGAATGGATTGTAGCATTAGAATGGAGTACCTTTGAGGTGTTGGAGACAGAACCTAAAGGATTTCAGGGCTGCCTCCACTTCACACTCCCATTTTTCCTTTCTTCTTCTATCCAAGGAACTGCAAGTATGGCAGTTATGTGACTCTTAACTCTTAACTCATCCGCAGTGCGACTGAGAGAGGAGGAGGGTCACAGAATCTACCAGAGGAACCAGGGGTTTAAAAAGTTTGAAAATTACTGTCTTGAGCCAAAAAAAAAATCAGATTTTAAAACAATTTCCTAGGTGTCTCAAAAAGATTGAACTCAGTTCCAAGAGGACCTAATGTTGGAATATTAATTTTGGCTACCAGTATTTGCTATAATGTAGGAGCTGCATACATACACAATGAAGAGTTGAATGAATGATTTGAGGATACACCAGCCAATGAAAAACATTAAAGTATAACTTCCTTCCTTTTTTTTTCAATTTGTGTGTATATATTTCAAACAGAAGTAGGTTCATTTCGCATATACTGTGTCAAAATATTCCATTATGAAAAAATCAGATTGTTTTGTTGTTGACGATGTTTTTTTGTCTTTCCAGATTAAAAGTACACATTTTAACTTTAGGTTTCCAGTTCAGTATGGAAGGAGCTTGAAGGCCATCACGACCATTGTCATTGAAACAAAAAAGCTGACAAATCAAAAATCAACAATTCTTATACTACTGCAGAATTGAAATCACAGAACAAACTACTGCCCTTACAAACTGGATAGACAGGTGTATATAGAGAAACACAGCTTACTGGAGCAGAAATTCAGGACGAAATCACTGCTGAAGCCAGCATCATAGTAGAGAAATAAACTATAATTGATCAATTATTAGAGGCTTATTTTGGACAAGTTTAAGAATTAAAAATTCTAGGTGAATCCAGTCTTAAGGGGTACTCCATGTTTTCATGAATTTTACCTCCAAGAGTCCTGCCAGCTTCTCACAATGAAGATCAGAGTAAAATATGGTCCTGCTTCCAGTAAGAAGAGGGAAAATATAGCCATTTCAAAAAACATGCAGAGCATTCTGTTCTTTTTATCCATCTCTAGTCTTCCTGGCTCACCTACTCATGGAGGGAGAACTGAGAAGCACTTTTGAAGGTCATAGCCCATTGCACAAGCTCAAAATGGATCGAAAACCTAAAGGTGAGATCTAAAATAATGAAACTCTAAAAAAAAAAAGGCTTCACAACATTGGATTTGGCAATGGGTTCTTGGATATGACACCAAAGACACAGGTAACAACAAAAAATTAAACAAATTAGACTTCAAGAACATTTAAAAATTTTATGCATCAAAGACTCTATCAGCAGAGTAAAACAGCAAGCCATAGAATGAGAGAAAATATTTGCAAATCATATTTTCTGCAAATCATATTTTTAATAAAAGATTAATATCCAGATTATATAAAGGACTCCTAAAACTCAATAACAAAAAAAAAAAATAACTTGATCCAAAACTGAGTGACTAGACATTTCTCCAAAGAAGATATACAAATGGCCAATAAGCTCATAAAAAATGGTCAACATCACTATTCACTAGGGAAATGCAAACTAAAACTATTATGAGATACCACCACTCACCTTTTAGGATAGCTACTATCAGAAAAAAAAAAGAAAACAACACATGTTGGTAAGCTCGTGTATCCTTATGCACTGTTGATGGGAATGTAAAATGGTAAGGCTTTGTGGAAAACACTATGGTGGTTCTGCCAAAATTTTAAAATAGAATTACCATACTATTCATGAATTACATTTCTGGGTATATACCCAGAAGAATATAAAGCAGAATCTCAAAGAGATATCTGTACCCTACCTTTATAGCAGCATTATTCATAATAGCTAAGATGTGGAAGCAACCTAAATGTTCACTGACAAATGAATGGATAAGCAAAATGTGGTTTATACATACAGTGAAATATTATTCAGCCTTAAAAAGGAAGGAAATTCTGGAACACATGAGTGGCTCAGTCAGTTAAGCATCCGACTCTTGATTTTGGTCTCAGGGTTGTGAGATGGAGTCCTGCATGGGGTTCTGTGCTCAATTGGGAGTCTACTTGAGATTTTCTCTCTCCCTCTGACCCTCCTCTCCTCTCTAAAATAAATGAATAAATATCTTTTTAAAAATAAAAGGAAAGGGAGATCCCTGGCTGCCTCAGTGGTTTAGCGCCTGCCTTCAGCCTAGGGTGTGATCCTGGAGTCCCAAGATCGAGTCCCACTTCAGGCTCCTGCATGAAGCCTGCTTCTCCCTCTCCCTCTGCTTGTGTCTCTGCTTCTCTCTCTGTGTGTCTCTCATGAATAAATAAAAAAATCTTTAAAAAAATTAAAAAAATAAAAGGGAAGGAAATTCTGACATATGCTACAGTGTAAGTGAATACTAAGGACAGTATGCTAAGTGAAATAAGCCAGTTACAAAAAGACAAGTACTGTATGAGTCCACTTATATGAAGCACTTAGAATGGTCAAACTTATACAGACAACAGGTAGAATGGTGTTTGTTGGGTACTGGTGTGAGGAGAAAATGGGAAGTTATTATGTATTGGAGATAGGGTTTCAGTCATATAAGAAGAAAATAATTCTGGAGATAGATGGTGATGATTGCACATTATGAATATATTTAATACCACTGATGCATATACTTAAAAATGATTATTGTAAATTATATATTTTTCTTTTACCACAATAAAAAATTAAAATTCATTTAAAAATATAGGTACACAAATATAGGGCATGGAAAGTAAAATCCTTTGGTATTCCACTCTTTCTATGACAACTGGTATTAAAGTTCTATTGCAGGTTTTGTTTTTTGTCTATGCATCTCTTAGTACTTGTTATGTAGTAATTCTTCTTTTTAAAAAGATGTCACAATATACATGCCATTCAATCTGCTTTGTTTAATTAAAATTAATATACACGGGTTCCTCTCGGAGCGGAGACGGCAAATGGCGGATTTCGATACCTACGATGATCGGGCCTACAGCAGCTTCCGCGGCGGCGGAGGGTCCCGCGACAGTGCTGGTGGCCATGGTTCCCGCAGCCAGAAGGAGCTGCCCACAGAGTCCCCCTACACAGCGTATGTAGGAAATCTACCTTTTAATACAGTTCAGGGAGACATAGATGCTATCTTTAAGGATCTCAGCATAAGAAGTGTGGGGCTATTCAGAGACAAAGACACAGACAAATTTAAAGGATTCTGCTATGTAGAATTTGATGAGGTGGATTCCCTTAAGGAAGCCTTGACATACGATGGTGCACTGTTGGGTGATCGGTCACTTCGTGTGGACATTGCAGAAGGCAGAAAACAAGATAAAGGTGGCTTTGGATTCAGGAAAGGTGGACCAGATGACAGAGGCTTCAGGGATGACTTCTTAGGAGGCAGGGGAGGGAGTCGCCCAGGTGACCGGGGAACAGGCCCCCCAATGGGGAGTCGGTTCAGAGATGGCCCTCCCCTTCGAGGTTCCAATATGGACTTCAGAGAACCAACAGAAGAGGAAAGAGCACAGAGGCCACGGCTCCAGCTGAAGCCTCGAACAGTTGCAACGCCCCTCAATCAAGTAGCCAATCCCAACTCTGCTATCTTCGGGGGAGCCAGGCCCAGAGAGGAAGTCGTTCACAAGGAGCATAGTGAAAGGGAATATAAGGGAAGGGAGAAGAAATGTGTGGGAAATATCAGAAAGGGAGACAGAGCATAAAGACTCCTAACTCTGGGAAATGAACTAGGGGTGGTGGAGGGGGAGGAGGGCGGGGGGTGGGGGTGAATGGGTGACGGGCACGGAGGGGGACACTAGACGGGATGAGCACTGGGTGTTATTCTGTATGTTGGTAAATTGAACACCAATAAAAATTAATTTATTAAAAAAAAAAAAGAATGAGCTTGCGGTTGGGAGGGAATGGGGTGTGGGGGAGTTAACTCGAGACCACAGCCTGGCCAGCCCCTTGGGCTGGCAGTCCTGCAGCCACCATTCCTGCGCCTGACTTTTGTCCTCCTTTCTTACAAGGGAAACACAGCTTGTGAGCGCATGTCAGTAGTTAACAAGTGGTTTTTAGTACATTCTTGGCTTTGCTGAACCTATCTAGTGCCTGTTTCGTGCTTTTTTTTTTTTTCTGCCATTCCTTTCGCCTTTTCCTTCTGTCTTTTCTCCTTCCTGCTTCTTGTTTCTTTCCAGTACATGAGTGTCTCCTGAGGAACAAAGCAGCCACCCAAGGGCGTTCTCTGGATGGAGGTGCTGCTCCATTTTTCTCCTTTGCTTTCTCTCTTTACTTTAGAGCACTGGCCAGACCCAGGTGTTTCTTTGATTTTTCTAGCGCTTCTCTTCTAACCTGCATGTAGAGTTCTGTATTGCTGTGGCTTCCATGGGGAGGGGGAAAAAGATGAAGAGGGAAAAAAAAAACAGGAAAGAAATCACAAATTGGGTAGCATCTTTATTCCGCTGTGATCAACATACAGAATTTAAGGCACCTTGTTTTCAAAACAAGAGTAAAATACCTGTTGATCCTTGCAAATTCCTTCCTATTCCTATTTATAAGCAGCCCTGTCTCTGTTACTCCTGCCCAGAACGGATTTTTCAAGCAGAAGAGGCTCTCAATTCAAACATGGAACCCAAAGGAAGGGGATAGGGGTGTGGAGTGTCAGTGAGGAACTTGGATCAGGCCAGCTGAGCACATTGCTGTGTTCACACCTGCCAGTGTCCCAGGCTGCTCCCCTCCTCCCTAGCAGTAGTAGACATGCCTCTGGCCGGCTAGACACAGAACCTCCATCTGCTATCCCTCTTGCTGGCCAGGGTGCTGTGGGGGCACTGATGGGTGGCCGTGGCAAAGCCGTGCCAGGGCTGCACTGCCCCTCCTCAGATCCCCGCCGTGCGTGGGTCCTGCCTCTCTCCCTTGAATTTGTCTGTCCCGTGGTGTAACAGTGAGATACTGTGCTTCCCACCTTCCCTGAGTTTTATAATGAAAATGGGCCTAAAATCTGGCACTTTATTGTTTCACTTAATGAATTGAGGATTCTACTATGCAGAACTGTCCAGAACCTTCAGATAGCTGGTAGGTGGCTGTCTGTCACTGAGTCTCCTCTTTGGGGCAAATTTTCTTGATCCCACACACACTGTGTTCGGCACTTGGCCAGGGGCCCGGCAGTGTGTTGGGCCTTTGCTTTTGAGCTGGAACACACCTGTATGTGAACAACTTCCAGTTCCGCAGCACTGAGGCCTGCTCCTCCCCTTGGGAGCAGCTTGGGGCCTGCCAGCAGCTAGAGCCTGGGGAGGAGACCCTGGTGACCAGGGGCCACGGGGTAGCCCGGCCTGGGCGGCACACTGGGCTGCGGCAGTGCTCGTCACCAGCTGGCTGCCTCAGCTTCTCTTACCGTGTCTTTGTCCCAAGGTTTCAGCAATTACAGAACTCTCTCCCCTCCTTCCTTTCCCCCTGCCACCTCTGCTTCTGAAATAAGAACCATTTGTGTGACACCCATACTTAAGAAAGACCTGCATTATGTGGTTGTAATCAAACCTGATGCTTTCAGATGTCCTACTTACATCTTCAATGTGGAAAAGATTGAGAACAAAACAAAATCATCTAAACTTCTGGGCCATCCAGTTGACTTTTAAAACGTAAGAATGGAATTCCAAACACTTAACACATTCAGCTATATGACAGAAAGTAAATCTATGGATATGGTATTTTGTGAATGATCTTTTAAATAAAAGAAAACCTTACGTAATAAAAAAAAATAATATACACAAATATGTCCACCCAGTGCTCTAAATTTATACCTCTCTATACAAATATACAACAAAATAAGGCAAAAACTAGGGCATAAAGATGCTAAAACAAATATCTATAAAAACACCACAAAAAATGCTCTTGAAAAAGTAGTCTATAGTGTTTCGCTCCAGTGAAGTACATCTTTTTAACCATATAATTGTACATAAAAGGTATATTCTTGCTGGCAAGCTAACTTTCAATCTCCTTGCACCTCTCATCTGTTGTCTGAATAATTTCCTAGTTAACATTACCTCAGAGTACAGCCTGCCTCATTTTTGTCCCTTTGGCTCCCACTTATAATTTATAAACATTGTGTACATGTAGAGATATAATGAAGGTACCAGATATAATTTTTGTCCCTTTGGCTCCCACTTATAATTTATAAACATTGTGTACATGTAGAGATATAATGAAGGAACCAATAGCCCAACCACACTGTTAACATTGTGCAATGTTTCCCGCTGTAGGTTTTTCTATAGGAGATAGAAGGCCTGCTGGACACAAAAATAGTGCTTGTTTCCCATCCACTTCACCATTAGTGAAATCTGACAACCCTGTGGCCCATGAATGATTGGCCTGGGTGGAAGAAAGGGAAAACTTTCTCAACTTGGTAAATAACATCTCACTGAAATTGTCCTCAATTAGGTTACCATCCATTCTCCCTGTCCATGCTCCCAAAATGGAAAGTTATCTGGTTCCTTCCCCAGCAGGAGGGTGGCCATGCAGTATTTAGAATTAAAACCCAGCTGGGCCTTCAAACACCCCCACCCCCCTGTCTCAGACATATTTTTTGGTGATCCCACTCCTAAAAGGAATTTTAGTGTTGGAAAATAAGATTAAATGTTTTTACCTTTTTTACATATGGAAAATGTAGTCAGATATAAATAATGCACATAATAATTCTACCACTCACTGATAATCATTGTAATATTTATGTCTTACATTAATATTTCTGTCCTTTTATTGTTTAAAAAATCTCCTACCATACAGGATGATTGTGAGCACACATATAAACCATATGCATATAATAATAATACATATATATAAATATGTCAAGTATATAAGCCTATATATTAATATATTGATATAGATAACTATATTAAATATTATATATATGTGTATGTGATTAGCAAGGAGAAAATGTTTCAATAGTAATTATCATTATCTTTGACTATTATTCAGTTGCATTTTTCTATATATGTGTATCTATGCACATGTGTATGTATTCTATATATGTGCATAGGTGCACATATGTATGTATTACACACACAATAAAAATTAAATAGAACTATACTGAAGATACTTTAGTATATAGCTCTGCTCTTTTCTAAATACTTTACCAAATGACCCAGGACCATTTATCTCTTCACTCATCTCAGATGACATCTTATTGACCCAGTCATAAAAAGAATCTTAGTAACCACTGGGAAGATAACATAGTCAACCCTTTACATGAAGAAGGAGTCTTCTGAGGATGCTAGTAGTGTGTATATTTCAATCAAGTATAAAGAAGAAAGTGCATATAATCAGGGATTCCCACTAAGCACTGACAACTAGTTTAATAAATAGGTATGATATCAATATTTCTACATTTTGGTTTCTTTGGCTTGACAAAAATGTATGCTATAAGGCTTTTATAAGAAATAAGTTTATATAAATGAGACTGTTTAAAAGTATGTCTGGCATAGAATAAATACTCAATCAGTATTGCCACTACTAACAGGTCCATATTATTTATATATATGTATATAAATGCATACATACATAAATTGCATATAAAGTTTTGGCCAAATCAAGTCATATTGCATATGCTGTGAGAAAAAAGATAATCTTATTTTATCCAAATGGCTACTTAGAATATAAAATGTTGTTCAACATCATTATTCATTGGGAAAATGCAAATTAAAGCCAAATGCAATGTTCTCAGCAATGGCTTAAATTAAAACTAACAAAACCAACTGTTGATGAGAATATGAAATAGGCGGAACTCTCTGATAGGGTATGAATTGATGCAAGCACTTTGTTAAACAGTATCTATGAAGGCTGAACTTGCACACATCTGATAGCCTACCAACTGCACCCGTAGGTATATTCTCGACGAATAATTTTTTGAGCACCAGAAGTATATGCAGAGAAGTGTTCATATAAGCATCATTCATAATAACCTAAAGCTGAAAACAACCAAATGCCCATCAGCAAGAACTAATAAATTAAGCTTGGTAAAGTCAAAGAATGGACTACTGTAGAACAATGAAAATAAATTATTGCAAAATGTGATAATTTGAATAACAGACCTAAAGAAGTCAGACACAAAAAAGTTCATACTCTATGATTTCTTTTTTGTAAAGATCAAAAACAGGCAAACTAATCTATGACACAGCCATCAGAATAGTAGTGAACTTTACACAGAGGGAGTGGTAGTAATGACTTGGAGGAGGACATGGAGGAGCCCTCTGGGGTGCCAATAATGTTCTGTATCTGGATCAGGGTGGTTGTTATGTGATGGTGTTTATAAAAATTTATGTTGTTGGACTCAGGCCCTGTACAGCCCTGATACCCCATGTTTCTGAGAGATGAAGGGTTTGGCTAAGGATTTTTATTTTACAGAGTGGAAACTTCCTATTGTTAATGGTGTGCATCTTCATTATGCATTTGTGATTTTCAGGTAAAACTTGTAGATCCTCTCAGTTTGAAAGACAGAGTTAATCATCTCAAAACAAAAACTATAGGCATTGGCTGTCCAGGCCTAAAGGTAGGTTGAGAAGTTAACTTGGATGAATCCAGTTCAGATCTTGATGTTTGTTCCCTTTACCTATCCCCAATACCAAAATTAAACAAGAAACAAGCAAACAAAAATACAGAGGTTCTAGTGCTGTCAGGTTTGGAAACAAACAACCTATAGGGTATAGTATCCTGATTGTGTGGCCACAGTGTTTAAGGTTCTCAGAGACTTGGCTGGCCCTATCTTTCTATAATTCCTCAATTTATCCATACAAATATCTTACACTGAATTAACGCTGGATTATCTATGGTAACCACAAAGTATACCATTGCACATTCTTTCATCTGTACCATGGACCAGACCTGACGTGCTCCCTTAGAGAACTTTCCTTGACTATTTATCCTTTCTCAGCTCAAATGGCACCTCCTTCTTGAAGTTGCACGACAATCCCATCTCACCATGTGGAGGTACCACCCCATGCTCTGTTCACCCACAGCATGCCACTTGTCCTTCTAGTATGTTCCTCTGATGCAGGTAGTGTGAGGACTACCAGGAAAGAATGCTAAATATCAGAGGGTGGTAAATTTAGGTAATAAGCACTTTGGTGTCTGTAAAATTATTCCTTGTACTTTATTGTACATATATAAATGTATATATATTTGCCATATTGCATTTTAAAATGACTTTAGTGAAAGTATGGGTATTATTATAATACACTACGTGTGAGAATCTAAATTTTACAATCTTTCTGGAGGGTAATTGACATTCACAGAGCTTCATGGAAGTGATTTGATGATTGTGAAATTTTGTTAAGAATCCAAAATTTTCAGTGTTTTTCAATAGGAGCTATATTGGTGCTTTGTGGGTAAAGC